GTGTTTTGTGTCACCCTTTCAACAACGTCAAAGCCTTTTCCACTCTTATATCCTCGTCTTCTCCTGTCTCCTTAGTGTTCTTTCTTCTCCATCTGGCTTTCAAATCTGATTTGTGCAAAGAATAATATCCACTTCCTTCATGAAGACTTCTCTATTCTGTTCCACAATTACAGACTCACCCCCTTCTCCACGTAGCATCTCACATGTGTGTTAGTCCTACCGTCAGATCTAAATGGTACGTTTTTCCAGGTCACGCACAGGCCATGTCTAAAACTTCAGTTACACTGCACACAATTAGCACAGGAAGGCATAATGGCAGATACACATTCTTTCATTTAGCCATCAAACATACTGCATGTTGACTGTATTCTCGGCCACATGCCAGGGACTGGGGATACAAAACTGATCACGAGACAATCCTTGCCCATGAGGACATCGGAGTCTAATTTGGGTCTCCAATCTGTAAAGAGATCATTAAAATAAAATACGATGTGTTATAGTTTGTGATAGTTGATAAATTCAGCAAATCATCCATCAGAAGAAATTAGAAAAGTTCATTTCCTATTTCCCCTTTCACACATCTTCGTTCTGGATAAAACTCAATGGTTGGTAAAAATAGATGAAAAGTGGGTAGAGCTAGTCTCCTAAGATATCATGGGCTCCTGAGAAATTGTGGAGCCCAAACCAAATGGAATCCATTTCCTCCCGTCTCTTTGATGAAGGAGAAAGAGAAGGAGAAGGAGAAGAAGAGGAAAGCCAAGTCTGTAAGAAACTGTAGCGATTTTGCAAAGTTGTCAAGGGTCCCAGAGACACACAAGGTCATATAAGTAGATAAAAAGGCGAGACCAAGGAGGGGAGAAAGCTGGCGCAGAATAGAACAATGGTCTCGTAGACACTCAGGCATGTGGCGTAAGAGGGACTGAAGAGAGGCCCAGAGGATTTGAGGAGGGCTTAAATCTCAGAGCATCTGGATATGGGAGTCAGGGGGGCATCAGGGTTTAAGTTCAAGGCAAAGGAAAAGAAAGCAGACTGACAACCTGCCTTCCTCTTCGATCTCTGCCTTGGCTAGAGTAGCCATGGCTTTGGGCCTGTTCATCAGCAGTCTCAAGTGGGAAACCATGATAAAGCTGGTAACGCTAATGAGTCTGATCTAAAATGTGGGGACACGGCCCATCCTTTAGTCACTCGGCGAGACATTTCCTTAAAAGAGCTGGCACAGAGGGCCTCTCAGACCCCAGTGGACAGCTCCTCTTCGTTCGTGCCCTCCAAAGCCCTTGCTGCTGAACCTTGGGCTTGGATTATGTCTGTGAAAACCTGGGTTTTTGCTGGAGGTTTGTCTCTAACTGGCGTGTAGTCCTGGGCAAGCCCTTTGAGGTGTCTCGTTGGAAAAATCAGGATTGGGCTAGATGTCCTTTAGGGTCTTCTCCAGCTTTGAAGTGCTAGGAGTTCAGTAGTCTCAGACTGGAAAATTGGCTCCTCCTAGAGGTGAAATGAGAAACATGACCTCAAAGGACAAACATGTGTGGGGATACTTCTGCCCCTTTGGGAGGGGCAGTTACTTTTTTTCATTCTTATTTATGAAGCCAACATAAATGATTGCCTCTGCTGGTCTACAGTTTTGGAAAACTTTTTACTACACCTTCCTAGTTTTTAAAGCCCATTTTTCATTTGGTCACACAGATGCCCAGGCTATTACAGTTTGCAAATACTGGGACGTTCAGAAAGTCTCCCAAGTCATGTAGCTAGATAGTGGTCAAGCTCGGATGATAGCCCAGTCCTCCTCTTCCCCAGCATGGTAGGCACAGACTCCCCTGTTCGTACACGCAGACCCAGAGAAAAGCCCCAACACTGAAAAATCTACCTCCCTACGCAGAGGGCAGGGAAAGACCTAAAAGAGTCTGGTCTCTGATCTGATAATTAATGGAGCTTATTAAGGGAAACTTACATCTGAGGTGTGTCTTGGGTGGCTGCAAAACAATGCATCCCTGTGCAGCTTGGCAGGAGCCAAAGAATCATGTAGGGTAAAGGGGCAGGGGGATAGTGACTGTACTAGTCTTTGAATGCTACCAGGTATGTAAATGATGTGCTTGACCAGGTCAGGACAGCGGCCTGTTCCAGGAACCCGCAAGTAGCAGGGGGCAGGGTAGGGGTGCTGACTTATGTCAGAGGGAACGTCAGTTACCCTCAGTCTCTAAGGGGGGTTTGCAGAAAGCAGCCTCCTTCAGCTTGCGGGACAGAGTGGTCTTTTCGTGGAACAGTCTTTCCTGTACACCCCCACCCCCAGGCCTAATGCTGTTCCTCAAATTAAGTGCTAAACTTACATTTAGCACCATGCTCTAAGTTGTGAAAGATACTGTCCTCAAGGAACTTCTATTCCAATTGCTGATACTGGCCTGAAAACAAACCTTAAAAATGCCTCCACCACCATGGCCTGGAGTAGAATTGGAGAGTCCTACAAGATGAAGAAAATAACCTTCACTTTCCTTAATGTTGAACCTCTGCAGAAACCAGTTGGGACAAATTGGACAAAGAGCCGCTATAAAGCCAAAAATAGAGGTGAGTAGGAGAGAGGGTCCTCGTTCTCTTGGAGGATGAAATAATAGAGCTGTTATTGTTCCCTTTCAAATAACGTGGCTTTTTCCAAATCCAACGTGCAGTTCACAAGTAGGTATTTTTTTCCTCTGAGGGGGGCAGAAGGAGGCAAACCTGGATTCCAGAAGATTTGAGATCATTCTCAGTTAACCAGGAGGAGAGGGTGTGCACATGATTTGCATAGAGCAACGTTTCTAGGTCCGCCTGGGGTGTGGGACACATCTGTAATTCATGGTCAGGTTGTTAACTAAAACTAAACACCCTTTCACTTAGTTCAAAGCACTCCTTTACCAGAGGTTTGGCTGTAGAAACCTTGTGGGACCAGCTACTGCCACTTCTTGTTAGGTTCATGCTTTTCTAATTAGTCCGTGGTTAGACTCTTCAATGATTAACTGCTAATGACAATGCTTTCCCTTTCATTTATTTCACAGTAGCAACATGTTTGGGGTTTTTGTTTTTTGTTTTCTTCTCCTAATGTCTCTGTTGAACAAACAGCATTTCAACAAGAAATAAAATACTTTAAGAAGAGATGCCACTACAAACTAACACATCCACTGTTTTTAGTTTTTCAAGTTTCTTTCCCTAGTTCTTACGTACATGCATGTGTGTTTTTACCTAAATACAACCATTCTGTTGCTAGAGTTATGTAATCTGATTTTTAAAAAATTTTACACTAGAAACATTTTTCATGCGTCCATAGACCATGTGATATTATTTTATGGCTGCATAATATGTCACAGAATAATGTTCCTTTTTTATTTTTATTTTTATTTTTTTTATTGTTAGTTTCAGGTGTACAGAACAATGCAATAGTTACCCTTTTCACCCTCACCAGGTAACAACCCCCCTCCCCCCATCTATTGCCCTCCCACCCCCGATATCATGCTTATCTATTACAATTCCATTGAATCCGTTCCCGCACTCTACTCCATGTCCCGAGGTTATATGTATATATAATTATAGTTGACATACAGTATTATTCAACATCAGTTTCAGAAATACAATGCAGTGGTGAGGCCTCTACATCGACTATGAAGTGGACTCCCCAAAAGGACATGGGTCCATCTGGCCCCCTAAGAAATACTTACAACATTATTGATTATATTCCTCAGACTGTCTTTTTCTATCCCTGCGGCCATATTACAATTACCCATTTGTAATCTCATCCCTTCCCCTTCTCCTTCATCCCCACCCCCTCCCGACTAGCAACCCTCAGTTCTTCCTCTGTGTCTCTGAGACTATCTCCATCCACTTCTCCCATCCATTCAGTTTAATGTTCCAGTTTTTGAGTGAGCCATTTCTCTGTTCTTGGCCACTGAAGTTGTAGTCAACCTCTCACTATTGTGCAGTTCATCAATTTAGAGGCAATTATTACAGAGACATAAAAATGTCTTTGAGGCGATTGTCTTTTGGAAGATGATGTAAACAAACAGCTCCAGTGACACTGAATCTACCAGATAAAAAGATGGTGCCCAGACTCTGAAAGGTCATGGTTGGCAGATAATAATTCTTCCCATGGCGGGATGGACATATCACCAATAGTTTGTAACTAAGATAACACTGGCATTCGTTTCCATGATTAATGACCAAACCATCAGAGCTACATGGTGCCAGTTCTAGCTTCCTCTATTCTGTCCCCTACTGGCAGAGCCGCATCAATGGGGACAACGTTGCCAGTACTTTTGGCATTAGACTACTAATGAGTGCCCCTTAATTTGGCTTCTAAGCATCAGTGCCTGAGACCAAGAGGATCGTCCTGTTTTCTGGGCAGAGGGAGGGTCTCCTGTTGTCCTTAGGCTGGCAGGTGGGGAGGGTGTGGCTGTAATAGGTGGGGACTGGCATATATTTAGCAGGTGGGTGTGGGGGGTATATTTAGTGGTGTATATATAGCAGCCGAGGGGGCGGGCTCTGTAGTGAGTGGCAAGCTGGCCCTTCCCGTGTCCTCCGACAGGAATGAAGCGAGTCCATGAAGAAGCATTTCACACCTTGCGAGAGAGAAAGGAGTTGTGGGTGGGGGGTGGGGTGGCAGGTGTCCCAAGAGCAGGACAGAGAAGGCTTCGAAGAAGGCGAGGGAGGCGGGAGTCGGGTTGAGCTCCCGCTGCCGGAGAGTTAGGAGGCCCGGCTGAAGGACGGGCCAGGGAGAGGACGCGTGGGACAAGCGGTGCGCGCGGCTGGCCGGCCTGCAGGGTCTCTTCCCTAGAGCGGCGGGGACCCGACTTGGACACTGGGCGGCGCGGGGCGGG